AATAAGTAGCAGCAAATATCTGGATATGCTGTAACATCAACGTTCAAAGTTTTCGCTTTTTCAAATAATTTTGAAATAACAGATTTGATAAACATAAGGCATTCATCAAATTTTGGCATGTAAGAATTGGCAAATGATGATGCTACTTTATAATATAATAAATTGCAGCAGTAGCTAAAGTTATTTGATTGCTTTCGTTCAATTAATTCACGTACAGTCATATCTATCGTTGCGTTGAAAAGTTTATCGTAGACACCATCTTTGAGTTCACGAATAAAATGCATTATGCGGCATCCTGTAAAGAAATTTCGGGTTATTTTATCAATGAAGTTGTCTTTATTTTCTTCAACAGCTGATTTAAATACTTTATAATAGTAATTAGGAGAAATGACTTTGCAATCTTCTAAAACATTGGATTGAAACAATATTCCATTATTGCCGGAATCTGATAGAATTGGTACTTGAGCACAGGAAAGGAAATATTTTGAATGGTAATACTCGTCAAAAATACTTTTGAGAAGATCAATGATTTCTTTATCATTTTTGTAGTCAAAAACGTTGTTTTGGAGGCCTCTGATAATTAAATGCAAGAATGGATCAATTATCATATCATGTATAAATGGCAATTTGTAATCAAGACTGTTATTACTTTCGACATAAGCAAAACAATCTCTAGTTGCACTAATAATTTCTTTAAATACTTCTCTTCTTCCCAAAGGAAAACTTCCAAGTTCATCCACTATAAATATAAAAACACCATTTGTGCAATCTCTCTCTTTTAAGTTTTTGTAGCTATAATTTTTCTTTGAGTCAGGAGATAATGTGGATAATATATGCATGAAAAACTCTTGATGACTTGAACCAAAGTGAAATTCAGTTCGTGGAATTCTGCTATCAAGAATGACGCGCAAAATATTGATTGGGAGGCATTTTACAATTGATGAAAGGCGTAAATCGCCACCATGAGTATAAACACCTTTCATTAGCTTTACGGCAATATCTGTGAATTTTGAATCTTCGTCACACAAGGATTCAATTCTATCTAAGATATTATTTGAAACACTAACAGGCGCTGTGTCAATAAGGGTAAGAATTTGATCTTCTGTCATATCTTTCAAAACTGGCTTAGATTCGTCAGTTAAAAAGAAATCAAAAATTAAATCAGAAAAAGCATCTCGTGCTGATGCTAGCTCAATTAAAGCTTTCCAATCTTTCTTTTGAACGATTTCATGCAAATAATCTGAATTTTTTGCTTTAATAAATATTTCTTGGCTCATTTCTATAGAAAGAACTAATAAAAATGATGTTTCTCAAAATCTTCGATAATCATATACAAAATTTATTCACATCGTCCTTTTAATTATCCAACATCCTTTGAAAAAAAATAATAATCATTTTAACTTTTTGAATCAATATTGAAAATAATAGTGAAGTATAAAATGCAGTTATTAAATCAATTTTATCTTTCTTTGAATTGCATAATATAGAATTAAGCATGCCGTCATAAAAGTAACGTAAATAAATTTGCGATTTTTTCATTAAATTCTTAATAAAGAAATGCGAATATATAAATGTTACTTTTGATATGAATATTAAATGTCTTATTTCATGAATATAACAATATATTACAAATATTTCATTGTTGTTTCAATCAATTCAATCATTTATAATATTAAATTCAAAAAAAAAATACTACTTTTATTATTAGTACTTGAAAATATTAGAATTAGTCTTTAAAGATATTGTATATTGTCAATAAAAAGCAATAGCTCTAAAATCATATGATAATAAATATAGTCAAATTTTTGGAAAAATAATATTGAAAATGTTTTTTTTTTAAGCTACTAAAAATAATATATTATCACATAAATTTCAATAAAAAACAAATTTAATGCTATTATCATTATAGTTGCTAATAATAATTATTAATTTACGCATAGCAACTATTTTAATCAAGAAAAAATCTATTCATTTGATGGATTATAAGCTTGATTAATCAATATAAATATACAAAATATAAATGATTATTAAGTTAGTGTTTCCTTGAAATATTAATTTTGTAGTTTAATATAAAATTATTATTTTTTTGTTGATTTCGCTGGTAGTGTAATGGTATCATGTAGGATTGTCGTTCCTGTGACCCGGGTCCGATTCCCGGCCAGCGAGCTTTTTTTTTCACAAATCTGATCTTTATTATGAAAAATAAAAAACAAACCAAAAAAGATGAAGAAAAAAATCAAAATGGCTTTACAGTTTATGATTATTTTGCAATAATTGGTACAATAGTTTTACTTATTTTCTTTTCTATTTTATTATACGTTCTTTACGATATCCTCCAATCTGCCGATTTGAATAGCGATAAATTAACATTAGCAAAAAAGCATTTTGGGCAACTATTACAAACCATTAATCAAGCTAATGACGATAAATCAATAGTTCATCATACCAAGTTTATTACCGAGTCACTTGAAAACGCAACTATTGCAGGCCCAATTTATCAATTACTAGTAAATTATTCTATATATGATAAAGCTCTTTACGCTATTGAATCTCGTTCAACAATTTGCCGTGAAAAAATTCATCGACAAGCTGTTAATGAACTTTCCAAACTTCTTACAAAAATGATAACACTAAGTGGATATAAATTTGGCTGCAACACACAATTTATTAAGGAATATTTACCTGTTTGCTTTTCTCACCATAAAAAATTTAAATCTGTTTTCTCATTAATTGATGCAATGATGAAAACATCTTGCTCAAAAGAAGTCCATCAGTCTATTATTAGAGCAATCAAACAAAGCCAGAATTTTTATTTTAAATTTAGATTGGTTCAGTTTTTAGATCAATATCCAGATTTGAATCAACTCAATGTAGATAACACTGACACAGATGAAAATTTGATTTGTTCATTAACAGAAAATGCAGTAGAATCGCTTCCTCAATCTTTGGATAAAGAAACACAAAAAGATTTCTGTAATTTCGTAGATAATCATAAATGTACTGTTTTTACAGATCAAAGCATTGTTGATTTATGCCAAAAAGAAAAGATAGATGACAGTTTATGATTTAGAATAAATATTTTATAAAGATATTTTTAAAAAAATTGCTGCAATTGTATTAAGGTCAATTTTATTTACCTTACTGCTTAATTTTTTGATGCTATTCTTCTTTTTTTACTTTATAAAAGGAAAATTATTGATATTTAACAACACAATTGTTACAAAAGGATTTCAAATTCAAAGATCGATAGATTCAATTGGGCTATCTTTTGTTTCAAATATTTCTATTTCAAATTGTACAAAAAACAAGGATTGTAAACTTGATATTATTTATTATCGAAACAATGATACTGCAAAAATTTTTTCAAATAAAATTCATGGTAAATCAATTAATATTTGCTGTGATGAAAAAAATGCTCAAGATAATAAATGCAAATTAAATTCCATTAACTTACCAAAAGACAGTCCTTATACACATGTTGAATATTCTCAATCAAATTCAATGAAATCTGTAACTGTCCCATCGATATCTGAAGCAGTTTGGACAGTTTTGATTACTACTTGCGTTGATAGCGAAACAAGTTTTACACTTAATGGAGATATTGACTATAAACCAGTATTTTCTACTTATATTGACGAACGAGTTAAGAAAATTTCTTCTTTTTGCTTACAATCTTCTATAGCCAGTTTTATCTTTTTAATTTTCTATATAGCTGCGCAAAACAAGTTTAATTCTCAAATAATAACTACACAGACCTCTTTTTATGTTTTAACTATCTTCTCTTGCATCAGCGATTTGTTTATATATCTCTTTTTCGATTTTTATAACAAATACTATTTACTTTTACTTTATCTGTTATATTTTTCGTCATTATCTAGATCAATATCAAGAAGTTTACTTTTCAAAATTACATATGACGGCCTTCAATTTCCAAACGTGATTTCTGTATTTATCACAATCCCACTTTTATGTATTTTTTCCTTGTCATTTTATTGTGAACTTACTGGAATTCACAATATTACATATAGAATCACAGGAGATTGGCTTTTGGGATATGGAGATCCAATAACATCTTTTCTACTCTTTCTCTCAAACATTTTAACCACTGTTTATATTATTTATCGTGCAAAATATGCTAAAGATATTACAAATACAGAAAAAAGGCATAAATTTATATATTTGATTTCATTTAATTTGGTAATATATATTGCATTATCTTGCTTGTTCGTTGTAATTCGAATGAATAGTTCTTTATATTTTTCAAGAAAACTAGAATTACTTACATTTTGCATTGAACCTTTTCATTTCTATGCTTTAATGCTTATTAATTCTTGGTTTTTGTTTATTTTTAATCCTCAAGGTTGGGAGCAAATCGGAATCAACCAAAACGATGATAATGCAGATAGTCTAGGCATTGCCGTTGAAAATAACCATAAGCCAAGTTTAGTCGGAAATACATATTCGCTTCCAAAAAGTATGCTCAATTCAAAACCAGAATTTACTTTAGATTTGCTTGAAGAAGAAGAGGAAGACAAAGAAAATAATGAAAATGCGTGATCCCATCAATTGGCAAATATAATCATTTATTTTTATTTATTGGTGTAATTAAAAATCTTTCTATCTCTTTATCTCTTTATTTATTTATTTATCAAACAAATATGGAAAGCCAGCTAATGCGTTTAATTTAATTTTGTCATTTTTCAGAATATTCATCAATGTGACAATACAAGGATGCTCAATTTTTTCATTTGGCTTTTCCATAAATTCTCGCAAATGCGATGAAATGAACTCAATTTATTTCTCATTTTTCTTCTTGCAAAAAAATTGAAGTTTTATTCGTGTGAAAACATTGTCTTCAATAATTTCTGTCTCTTTTTCTTTTATTTTACATTCAATTGTTTCAACTCCACACTTTTTAATGACTTATTTAATTGTCTGCAATGTAAATTGTTCAAAATCATTAAAATGACATGTGAAATAAAAAATAAAAAAGTATAAAATTTCGGCACGGGGAGTCGAACCCCGATTTCGTGGTTGAAAACCACGCGGCTTAACCGTTAGGCGATACCGAATTACATTTATATTTCATTAAATTTATTTCATTTATATTTCTATTAAAAAGGTATTTCAATAGATTAAAAGTTTTTTTTGAAATATATATCATCTTGACAAATTCATAGAATTCCACTATTTTACTGAAATATTTATTTAATACTTGAAATATTATTTGATATTTTTATTACAAAAGTAATTAACAAAATGCAAAAAAAAAAAAAAATATCATTTCATCTTCTTTATTTCTATTTTTTTATTATTATTATTATTATATTATATCTTTTGCAAATGCATCTAATACATATACATTATGGTCACAAACAATTAAAACAATTTTTATGATAGGGGTTGCAACGATAGAAAAAAAAAGACGGTTTTTTTTCTTTAACCAATCTTTACAAAAAACATATAAATATATTACAAAAATAATACTTGTTATTTACATATATTTATTTTTAAGAAATATCTATCAGCAGTGGAAATATCACTTTTGAATTTTCACAAGTAGACCTTTCGACCGTGTGCCGTTTTTATGGTGTTCCGTTGTCAAACCGTAGTTTACACAGAACGGTTTAAAAGAAAAAAAAGCCATTACCATATTTATTTGGTTGGATTTTTAAAAAAAAAAAAATATGAAATTTGAAATTCGAACTTTGTCCCCTCTATTAAATAACAATTGAACTATAAAAAATTCAAACGTAAAAATTAAATTTATATATATAAAGTTAAGAAGTGATTCTTCAACTTTAATGTATTTTTTACTTCTTCTGTTGAATCTATTTCAAAAATACAAAAATTCATCATAAAATAAATAATACCTCTAATTAAGAGCCGTTTCTAGAAGACTTAACAAAATATATTTTTTATCAAAAAAAAAAAAAGCTAATGTGATAATCGAACATTAAAACTTATTCAATTAAAAATGAATACAACTAATTCTATTACGATAGATTTTTTTTTTTTCAAAAAAAATTTAGTTATATTTAAATGTTAACAAAAAGTTTAATAAGATTGAATATATTGATAACCATTTAATCAAACAAAAAGTTTTGCCGTGCGGATAATTCCGTTTTTTGTCTTCAGTGTACCGTTTTACTTTTTTTCAAATAAACTATTCAAAAAAAGGTGAAGTTACCGTAATTTATATAACCGCCGAAGGTCTATTTCACAAGGTTCGTTCGATTTTGAACCTTTCGAAAAAAGTAAAAATATAAGATTCTCTGGTATTTTTATTATTTATTTTATATATTATTTTAAGCTTGTAAATTTGGTGAAATAAACGTTTTTTGGGTTTTAAAAATCACCAAATGTAACCATATTATTGTCAAATAAATTTTATTAATATTTATTATTGTCATAAACCATTGAATTATTTGAAAGAGGAATTAAATGAGTTTTATCAAAAGTCATATTAATAATCGATAAGATTTTCTCAGTAAAAAAATGTTATTTTTTGAATATTACAAAATAATTGTATGATTTGTATAATATATCATATAAAATAATAATAAAAAGCTCATTTATATTGACGATGAAAAGCCAAATAACCGATTTCACCAAAAGCCCAGGTCTTGGGCTTTTGGCGACAGCATTCAATTTTGAATAGTTTACATATATTTTGGAGATCACCAAAACGGTTTTTTTGGCGATGGTGATTTGTAAAGCTTTCAAAATATCATTTATAAAATAAATAAAAAAAAATAAGATATAAATATATAAAAAAATCAATAATAGCATTTTTTCAATTGAAAATAATTTTTTTTTCATTTATATTTTAAATATATACCGATATAAAATGTATTTAAAATATTAATAGTATTTATATTTTTATGAATATATATAGCCGAATAATAAATAATGCATTGAAATATTAATAGTATTTATATTTTTATGAATATATATAGCCGAGTAATTAAATAAATTCATTGAATTTATTGAATGTTGATTCGTAAATTGAATTATTATTTAATCAAATATCATTTAATCATTTTATTTAATAATTCATAAGAAATAACTTTTTAAAAGATTTATTAAAATCGCCAAAAGACCAGAAAGAATCACCAAGACCAGGTCTTTTTTTTTACATTTGGGTATATTTTACAAGCTTAATTATTTATTTATAAAACATTATTTTTGACCAACATTGATCAAAAATAGAGATATTTTTAATTCAAATTTCACAAATTTTTTGTTTGAAATTTCGTTTCAAAAAAATCGAACGAACCTTGTGAAAATTCAAAAGTGATATTTCCACTGCTTATAGATATTTTAAAAAACTGAGTAATAATTTATATTTAGTATTAAGTATAAACGATATTTATTTATTTTTTTAATAAATCCATTAGATATTTTATTTTTCATTCAATTTTCTGCCAAAATCCTATCGTTGTATCCCCTATTTTTTATGCCATTCAAACAAATTTTGTCAAAAGGGAGGAAAATTCATTGAAAAAAAAATTTGCAATTTCAAATCTCCCTTTGGCAAAAATTATTATTTTCTCGTGCTTTTCTGGCTTAAATAAAAAAATGAATATAGTACTAAAAGATGGAATTTGTTTTGAATTAAATGATAGAAATTGCACCGCAAAAGTTTCTGAATCTCCAAATGCGAGAGGCGACATTTTCATTCCTTCTTCAATTAATTATAAAACACAAGATTTTGTTGTTATATCAATTAAAGAAAAATCATTTATGAACAACAATCAAATCAAATCAATTAATTTTCAATTTGATTCTCGACTTCAAACAATTGAAAAAAACGCGTTTGCTTTTTCATCGCTCGAAAGTCTTTCAATTCCATCAAAAGTCAAAGAACTCAACTATGGGTGGTGCAGAGGAACCTCAAAATTGATTCATATTTCGATCTCTCCAAATAATCATTTTTTTTCTTATTTGAATAATTCATTGATTATCGGCAAATCAAAATTGAATGAAACCGATTTTTATGATTCAATTTATTTTGTACGTCGTGATATTAATCAAGTAATTATTCCTTCGTTCATCAAGTATATAAAACCTTTCTCTTTCCATCAATGCAATTCACTTCACAAAATTTTGTTTCCAACTGATTCACCAATTGAATCAATTGAAAAATTTGCATTCAACTATTCATCAATTGAGTATGTTTCAATTCCTCCTAATGTCAAAAAAATTGGCGGTTACTCATTTTGCTATTGTGAAAAATTAGCAAAAGTTGATTTCACAATAAATTCAGAGCTCACTTCACTTGGCAAATATTCTTTTTCTAATTCTTCAATTAAAAGCATATCTATTCCAAATAAAATCAAAAGAATTGGTCAATATTCTTTTTATCATTGCGAAAAATTAAAGAACGTTTATTTTTCAAAGGGCTCAGAATTCCTTTCAAAAATTGAGAGAGGTTTGTTTTCATTTTCATCAATTGAGTATATTAAAATTCCAAGTAGTGTCGTTGAAATTGGTGAGTTTTCTTTTTATTCTTGCCATAATTTGAGAACAATTGAATTCAATAAGAATTCAAATTTGAATTCGATTGGAAAAGAAGCGTTTTCTAATTCATCAATTGAATTCATTTCTATTCCAATTCATGTTAAAAAAATTCCTGAGTGTTGTTTTAGGAATTGCAAAAAATTAAAAACCATTATTTTTTCAATTAATTCAGAGCTTCTCTCAATTGAAGAAGAAGCTTTTTCAAACTCCTCTATTGAAAAAGTTTTCATTCCTTCCCATGTCAAAAAAATGGGTAAAAATTGTTTCTCATATTGTGATCGTTTAAAAACTGTTGAATTTTCAAATGATTCTGAACTCGAATATATAAGCGAGCGTGCTTTCTATCGTTCATCAATTCAAATGATTTCAATACCAAAATATGTGATGAAAATTGAAGATTTTGCTTTTTCTTTCTGTGATTGTCTGAAAGTAGTTGAATTTTATCCAAATGTAGATATTAGCGTATTCAGCAGAAATGCTTTTACTTATTCATTTCTTGATAAGATTATTGGTCGATCAATTAAAACTAATAATTTGAAAATGATCGGTAATAATGCTGTTGTTGAAATTTACAATGATGAATCAAATTATGAAGAATTTTTTGAAAATCCAGATGATTTGTATCATGATTATAACAAATGTAATATTGTTCTAAGTGAAACATGTGATTTTCAATGCATTTCAAATTGTGCCAACCTTCTTTTAATTAATGAATCAAGGAGCATTCACAAAGAACAAAAATTATTCTTTTTGAAATCTTCATATAAAGATAAAGATCAATTAAACATGAGATATAAAAATGATTTTTAAACTATAGAAAAGCCCATTATATTATTATTATTATTGTTAAATAAATAAAATTGCTATTGTCATTTACCAATTTTTTTATGATATTTGGGAATACTTTTTATCAATACAAATTCATTAAATTTTGATTTCAAAAAGACAAAACCCATTGTATTTTACATCATAAGCATTTCTTAAATTTATTCTTATATATTATTTTCCAGAATTTCTCTTTCTTTGGCAGGATGAGGCTAATGATATAGTATTCTAAACTTTTTCTGAAAAGAAGTGAAAGGAAAAAAAAAAAATTGCAGGTTGATTTACATCATATAAAAAATAATCCTTATCTGAAATTATCTCTGTCTTCAAATCATCCACATCTGTGAATATTTTTTAATTCAAAGAGTCCTCGATATTCTCAATAAATTATTGTTCTTCTCTTTTTTCAGTATGATTTATATAATGATCTTCTCCTTCGTTTCAAAGGATAGCGAGAAAACTTTATGGAGGTTGCATATTTGATTTTATATTTCATATCCTTATTTAATTTATATATAATTATTGATATTGTAATTATATAATTTATTGAAATTAATGAAGAATCAAAAATCATTAAAAAATACTATTATCAGTTATTATCTAAAATAAAGCAATATAATTAGAATGAATAATTATCAAACTGAAAATTTTATGAATAATAAATTAAGTAATTATCTAAAAACAATTACTTATTTATCATTAATTTGGAGTTTTAGAACATCAG